TTTTTTTTTTTTTTTTTCCGTTTCGAAAATGGCGAGCGTTCCTTGTTTGTGAAAGAGTGACAGGCCGGAGGATTGAATTTCCCCGGTGGTTTTATTTAATTTCAAAGAATTACATTGATTTCGATCTCCATCGAGACGAGATAAATCAATTTTACATAAGGGTTGACACAATGGCCGAGTGTCAATAAAATTATAATTCTGCAATCTCCTCGCCCATTTAATTTCGATTTCAACGAGCCGTCACGAGTTTATATTTGTATAAAGCGTTTCATCCTTTTTATACTTTCAAGAGAGGCGGGAGGGTTTTAATTCGATTGTCTCGGTCGAAGATCAAACCCTCCCCGCGTGTTAAACAAACGTTTATTTCCGCGTTTGGCGGAAAATGGCGGCTATTTAATGCTTCGAATTAAATTAAATCCGACGTTTTCAATGGGAGGCTGCATTTAGCACCTGGTTATCTACTTTTATCAACGTTGAATTACGCTGGTCGAGGGAACCACGAATATTCTTTTATTCCATAAAATTTCCTAAGTAAAATGAAAAATCGTGAAATATTGATCAGTGATATAAAAATATTACATCGTTAAATATTACTACAAGGTAGGAGATCTCCCTTAGTAAAAGGGACAAATCTGTTCTCAATAAATTTTGTATTATTCACATTGAAATGGAAAATAAAAGAAGGAAAAAGTAATTTAAAAATAAAACGTAATAAATAAAGTTTAAAAACTGGCAATTAAAGTAATTGAATATTCTTGTGATTAATAGATTAATCGATTAACTTCTTCGAAATCGTATTTGTATCGAATATTTAAGGAATAAAAAATTAAGAAGATATGCCTGATACGTTAGACAACACCTTTTCAACGATTAATTTTCACTAGCTATAAAATCTCATTTCAAATCTCAAATCGAAACATCTTTTCAACATCTTTCAACATTCGATTAATCAGAAAGTACACATTCAATCGTACGATATTGATAAAAAGAGAAATTTTAATTTTCACAGCATTTTTCAACGTTTAAAAGTATATTAGATTAAAAGAAGAAAATTCATATTATTAGTTTTACCCAAGAAGATAAATTTTCCTCGGATTCTACGCTAAAAATGAGATCTAATCAGTCTTTTGCAGGCGGTCCAGCTTTCGAAGGAGAGAAGAAGAGCCCGTCGAAAAGGGAAAAGTGTATCCCGCCGGGATTAAAATTCGAGCAGAGACGATTATAAGACCACGACCATTAAGCCGTCATTCCACTCGAAAGGAGTTCCACCTCGCTGCTGTTTTACGCGTTACCGCATAAAACACCCCCTTTATCGCCGAATATTCTAAGCTATTGAGCCCCTACCGAAAGCCCTTTAATCCCCTTCGTCTTAGGAATTGAGCGAGGTTTCATCAGAATCACTGATGAATAACAATATTTTTCCATTTTCTTGTACCACCAGAGAGAGAATTTCATCGACCAATTTAATCCATTAAGAGGCAAACAGTGGAATGATATATGCAGATCGTGTTTATTCAATAGAACGATTCTTTAAATGAAACGTGAAATTGTATAAAAATCATGTAAAAAATCTAAAATCAGGAACGTAATACAAACACAAATAATACAAAAATTATTTAAAATTTTTCGTATGAACGTATGAAATTAATTATATCGATATTCATGGATTGATAAAAGAATAGTCCATCATTGCGCGAATATTATTTTAAATTTATTATATAAATTTATTATTAAAATTTATTATAACGTGTTTCGAACGTTCGTATAAATTGTATAATTCGTATAGCCAAATTTTTTACAACTCCCGATTTAAAAACAGAATATATTTCAAAATTTAAAAATTTAAAAAAAAAAATCAATACAAATGAAAAAGAGAAATTGGAACGTTTATTTATTAACATTAATATAATTGGGATATCGGAATGTCTTTACATAGCTCTAAAAGAAAAGAGAAACGACTAATAATATCTCAACGGGATTCCTCTTACGAGTGAGAGAAGCCTCGGTTTATTCTCAACATTAACGCACCCCTGTTACACGGGGCGAGAACGAGCCCTGTTTACGATATCCCTAGGGATAATCGCAAAGACGTCGCGATAATATATCGATTCCTTAAGAACCCTTCTCCTCTTTTAGGAACACGATCGTAAAAACGAACATTCGAATAATTCTTCGGTGGAATTGAAGCCGTTGTCTCTCTCTGTTCATTAAAGAAACGGCTCAAAGTTTTACGTTTTATCCCCTCATCATATTTCAGAACGATCAGTTCTAACCAACCAACCTCTGCAGCGTTAAATAAATTCCCAAATGATTCGTCTTCCTTTCGTTCTAGTTTCAAGCATTTTTTTCTTATTTATTTTATCAGTATTGTATTAATAAATAAGTACTGATATTTTATAAAAAATTACATGAAAATATTAGATAAAACAATAAAGAAAACTTCTACTCTTTTTTATTTAATTCTCAATCAAATATTTTTATATCTTCAAATATTTTTATTTTTTTTCCATGAACAGTTAATTAAAAAAAAAAAGATGATCGATATTTTCCATTTCTTTTCGAATCCATACAAGATAATCTTGTTATTGCTATATCAATAAAGATAATCAACATTTTTAATCTTTCTGAAAATATCCTTTTCGAGGAATCTTTTCAAAACTTTATTCATTCGACGATACTTTGCAAATAAAATATTATTCAAACTCATAGCCAATTAATTCCTAATTTATATACATCCTGAACTAAATTAATTACAATTAAACGTAGAGAACTAAAGTAAATACGATATTACTACATCACGAAATAAACCCAGATTCAAAATTTACTAACACTACGCGAACTATATATCTACTGAACAATTCATCGTGATCCAATATTACCTTCGCGGAAATATTACCCCCTTATAAAAATCTGAATATTTCTCGATATTTACCCGATATGGTTCACGTGCTGTTAAATGGTCAACAGATTCCTTTTGACGCTGAAAGTAGGTTCGCGGGGCACGAGGTCGAGCCTCGTGGAGATAGACAAAAAAAGCTCACCTTCACCGTCAAGTTCCCGATGGGGAAAGTCTTGAAGATCGGGATCTCGTTCGGGGCATAGCGATAAAACTCTCGACCCCCTTTGTACCACTTGACGGTGTATAAAAGATCACCCTCGGTGTCATACCAGCAGTTCAGTATCGCAGAGTCACCTTTCTTCACGGCCGTCGGTATCTGGATGCGGACTTCTCGCAAACCGGAGCAAATTCCTGGAACAGAAACAATCGTCAGTGACGTTGTTCTTTTTTTTTTTTCTCTTTCCCTCTCTCTTTTTTTTCTTTCTATATTGTACGTGCGCGGATTTTCGAACACGCGCGCGTTATTCGGAAGTTCCTTTTCTATTTTAGAGGGGATCGATCCTCGTGGAAAAGTGTCGACCTCTTGAACGGGGAATTAATGAGCTCGAGATGATGAGTTCGAGTTCGAACTATTATTCGCGTACTCTTTTGGAAAAATAAGGAAAAAAAAAAAAAGGAAGGAAAGAAGAAGGAGTGTTCTGGTTTATAAATAAAGTCAAATATTTGTAATTGGGAAATATCTATAAGATATGGAATTTTGTTCGTATTGAATTGTGCAAATCTCTGGAAGTTGATATATAAATTTGATTTAATTAATTTGATTATTTAGAGAGAGAATGAGATATATATATATATGTATGCTCGAATTTTCACAGTTCGTATCGAGTTTTGAAAAATAAAAATTAATTTAATTGGAATTAGTTCTGAAAATATTTATAAGAGTTAAATTTTATTCATATTTTCCCCAGAATTGTGGAAACCTATGGAAATATTTTTATTTAATTTGAATTATTTAATATGAAAATTGCTATAAGACTAGAATATTGTTCGTATTTTCTATCGAGATATGGAAATCTTTGAAAGTCGAAACATAAATTCAATTTAACTCGAATTATTTAATACGAAAATGTCTATAAGACTAGAATATTGTTCGTATTTTCTATATCGAATATGAATGTGGACACAAACTCTCAAAAGTCGAAATATAAATTTCATTTAACAGGAATTATTTAACATAGATGTTAAATAATGTTATTTTGTAAATGTGATTTATAATCCTTTGTAATTTGAATTCAAAATTATCTGATCTCTATAAATCCAAATTTATCTTTATAAATGGAACTTTTATTATTAATGCTTCTTCAAAAATATGCGAGACTCTGATGTAATAAAATTAAAAAGATACAATATATATAATAACGAAACTTCTAATTTAATTAATTATTCTATGAATTTTATTATGAATTATACTATGAATTTTATTTCTATTCCTTTGTATAATAAAAAAATTAAGATAATATATTTATAGTATAATATAAAAAAAAATATAAATAAAACAGGAATTTTTCATATAGATATAGTTATGAATTTTTCCTATTTACAATGTACATTTGCAAGTGTATATTTAATGAAAATGGTATCATTTATAATATTTATTATAAAAATAAATAATAAATAAATAAATAATAAATAGAATGAAAGATTATAAATTTTGTAAAATTAATTAAAAGACGATAAGTAATCATACAAATAAAAAAAAAAAATTAATTTCATTGTGCAAAGTGTACATAAATAGTGAAATTTTTATTATATCATATCATGTTAAATATGGATATTATATTTTATTAACGTGTTAAATATGCACATTAATATGAATATGAATATTTTATTTATACAATTTTAATTTTTACCATAATATTAAATATATGAATTCTGTCTTTACCATTTTACATTTTTATTATAAGCTTGAATATGGATTCTGTTGGAAAACTAATTTATTCTCGCTTCGATGACACAACTCTTATGAAATTCAATGTTGTTGATTCTCTTGTTAGAAACAACAGCTAATAACAAAACGTAATAAACAATGAAGATCAATAGTTAATTCGATACCTCTTCAAACTTACAATGTGCTTTAATTTTATACAAATAAAAACAAACTGTTTTAGAAAAGATTTTCTTTAAAGTTTAAAATTTCCTTTATAATATAAAATTAACTTTTCTTAAATTTTTACAATTTTTATTATAATATTGAATATAAAATTTCTCTCCTCACAATTTAAGATTATTATAAAAATAGGGAATGTAAAGATTTTTTACAATCTTAAGTTTCAAACAAACCAGTAATTTTTAAAATACTCCAATGATTTTCCATGTTTTTTCTTAAGTATCCAAATATTTTTTACACATATGTACATATCAGACAAGAAAGCATGAGATTTTATCGTTGAGTTTTGTTTCGGAAGCAAGAAGCTCGAGG